TCCTTGAATAGGGTTAATTATATATATATATACATATATATGAAAAAATTCACTTCCACAATCATTTTTTTGTAAGAAAATACAGTATACGAGAAAATACAATCTAAGAAGTGAACGAAGTAGACTCAAAACTCAAAAGGAAAGAGTCATTTTGCATCTTTATGGCAATGGGGTTTTCTTACTTTTCCAAACAATAAAAGATGATACATCTCACAGTAAAATTTATTTATATACAACTAATAAACTTAAGTGAAGATCATGACATTATTGTATGGCTATAACCTTGTTTCCAGACCTTATTTCTTCATATATATATATATGCATACAACAAAAGGTTTACAGATCACATGAAATGTCTTCTTCTTGCTCTCTTCCTGTTCATCGGAGCAACTGCCCGTCCATTTCCAGGAAATTCCCATTTGACAATATCTCCATCCCAAGAAGAACTCACGAGCATCGGATAATGTGGGTGCCAACTGCAGTCTCTTACAGCCGAGCTATGGTGCTGCAGCACCGCAACTTGGGCCCCGGTTACCTGCGGAGATTTACTATAGAAACTAAGGCCTCCTTATAGAGAGTAAGAAATTCGTTAAGCTTGTACGAGCAAACAGATTTGCTTTACATTGCGGTTGGTGAGGAAGACAAGAGATCTTTGTGTATTTTCATCTTAATTTTCTCTCGCCCAAAAATATTATATGACTTCCCATTAGAACAACTTTCCCTCCAAACTTATTGATATAAAATAATTGATTTGGATGATCAATTCTTTTTTTTTTTTTAAAAAATAATAATATGCAACACAAACTTCTCACAAAATCACCCATTCCATTACTACTCTCGTTCAAATACGTTTAACTACAGAATTCTGATGAGATCTAGTGCATTCAAATATATTAATAACATATGACCAATACACTCTGTAAGTTCAAAGATTCAAACATAATTGTCAAATGGGTGAGTAAAATAGTGAATTTAAGCCTCACAAGCTTGGAACTTGAAACTATCAAAGCTTAAGCTTATGGAATTATTAGTTATCTGCATTAATTATTTTATATGGTATCATGGTATTGGAGTTTGAAATTTAGAGCTAATTGGTCACTCATCTCAATCATTTCAAATAATATAAAAAAAGCAGAAAGGAATGATATTGCTTACCACATCGTAGATATATATGCAAGAATCATGAGATCCAGTGTAGATGTACCTTTGTCCGGTGCTGTGAAGAAGAACAGGATGAAAGTAGTGGGAAAATTTTAGATTAGATCCAGATAAGAGTCAATACAAGAGGATTAACAAAATCATGCAGGGAAACCAAAATTAAAAATCCAAGTGCACAGGTTGCAGGCACATGAGGAATTTTAATTCAAATTCAAGCCTCTTGGCAATCATCTATCAGACGAGCTGCTTGTGAACCTTCGAATTACCATGACAAAAGGTTGAACGAAAAGAAACTGAAATAAACACTCACCTAGATGCTGGGGAGAAGTAGCATCGAATAAGAGTTCGCAAAACTGAATGACCCTTATATGTAGCCACTGATTGGTCATAAGGGTGTTTCAGATCTCTTGCCTGGGGAGGATACTCCATCCATCTGTAATCCCACTCGTAAGTCCTAAGCCCGACGTTGCTGGTGAAAATTGAAGAATAAAAAAAGAGACAGATTACCTTTCATTACAAACACTTTTTTAATGGTAGACTTTTCATGAATTGTAGTACAGAAGGCAGACTCCAAAAGTAACCAGGGAAGCAGAAAGGAAACATACCAGACAGCATTAGTGGACATTCTCCGAATATCCCACAGTTTGATTGTTTGATCTTTACCATTTGAGATGAAATAACGACCATCACCACGAGTATCAAGGAATGTGATGCCTTCTAGGTGTCCCATTAGCACTCCTGCAGGCTTTGCTTTTGCATTAAAGCAACGCCGATCCCACACCTGTACACAGTTTATGTTATCCAATACTCCTTAATCAGAAGGAGCAAGGGAAAAAGAACTTGAAACACTCAAAACATAGATCGACAAAATAAAATATCATCAAACCACACGTCCTCTTTCCAATAATCAAGAAAGAAAATTTTAGGCAAGAATTTAAATTGTAAAATGTCTGTCAAAACATCAGTTATATTCAATACAAACCATAATATATATTATTTTGGAATAAACATGTCTACGCAAAGAAAATTTGATGGAAAAATACAGGGTAGTGTCATGCTTTAAATTAAAGGAAAAATTGAACTCACCTTACAAAGATTATCATCACCTCCGGAATATATAAGATTGCCACTTTCATCAGCAAAACACACACTATTAACATCAGACTGCAACATGAAACACAAACATACACATAAGGAAAAAAAAAAAAAACTTCAGAACTCCAAAAATCTGTGCGCATAGCATCAGTACATACTATATAAGCTATCTAAAGGATTGAGCCTCCCTGCCAGAGCCTCCGGCCAAAGTACATATCAATTCCCAATATTGCGGTTCAATGTCTATATCATGGAAACGAACTACTTGGAATGTCTTCTGAATTTTATTCAACAAATGTACTTAACTCCTCACCAAAAAAAAGTAGTAACATGGTATTCACCATAAGGACTTCAGTTCATAACTATATCAATATGAGATCTTATAAGTTTTAGAAGCCAAATTACTTCATTTCAGCATATGAACAAGAGACAGCAGACATTATCGTTGGGAATGCATAAAAGAAACTGTTAAAAGGGATGCACAGGTGTGGCACTAGCATCCAAAAGTATATGAATATATGAATTCGACTTTGCACTTTCTTTTAAAAAAATTGTATTCAATTTTGACCTTGCACCACTGTCCAAACAATTTAGTGAATTCAACCAAACCAAAAAAAGATAAAAATAATGAATAACATTATGATAACAAAATAGTGTCATTTACAGTGTGCGCCAAAATTCGAAGGGAAAGCTTGTTTGCTTCAAGATCATAAACGTATATCGAGTCATCATTACTTCCCGCAACGAGTTCCCTTCCATCATTTGAAAATTTCACAGAGAATATTCCAAAAGAAAAATCTCCACCACCAGCAGCGCAAAAGTCTAATCCATCATGGATCTCCTGCAAATCTCAAAGAGTCATGCTTTAAGGAAAATAAATGCTTGTTTAAATACAACCCTAAAGAAGAGGTGAAAAGCTCTAATCTGGCGACCATGATTTTCACACAGAATTTGCAAAACAGTTCTACTATATTTATCACAATCTTGATAAATTTCATAGAATATAATCTGCAGATAATCATGACAGACCAATATTGCAAAATGGCTGTAGGTTGCCATGTTTTTCCCACATGAAAAGTGTGTGACTATGTTGGGATGCGATCATCCAAGAGTGTGATACTGTAATTTAGAATCCCTTAACAGTCATACCAAGGTAGGAAGCAACCCCATTAAGAATGATAGTCTCCAATTTTTTTCAAATAAAGAATGATAATCTCTATAGGATGTCATTCACATTTCAT